CTTAGAAGAAGCAGCCTGGAGAGCATTGCCGTAGTAGCCGCCCTGCGCGTTGACGTCGGCACCCTTATCGAGCAGCATCTGAACGATCTTCTCGTGGCCCTCGTAAGAAACAGCCTGGAGAGCATTATAGTACTTGCCGCCCTGCGCGTTGACGTCGGCACCCTTGTCGAGTAAATACTCTACCGAGCGAACCAGACCACTAAGGGATGCGTAATATAGAGCGGGTGCTAGGTGATACTCGTCGTCTTCCGGTTCTTCTTTCCACGGGTTGTCTGGGTTATACAGCCGATAGCCATATGAAAAAGGAGCCTGGGACGAGAAAAAATTAAACGTGAGCTTCTGTAGCTCTAGGTTATGCCTTTCGGTAACCGCAGCATGTTCCATCCAGTATCTTGCCGAAAATTGTGCTAGTCCAAACGACTTTCGAATTTCTCGTATTGTCAAAGTTTGGTTGAGCTCTAGCAAGTACGTAAGGCAGACTATTCCGATAGAGGCTCTTGCAGCAGTCTCCTCGAGATCTTTGGCCACACTTTGGTCTAACCTGTTTGAGGTCAAGTATTCTTTGACTGAGAAGTGCGCGAGCTGCAGCTCGGTTATAGCTTCCATATCATCCTTGAGGCTCTTCCTGGCCACGACTACTACTAAAGTAGAGCAGTATCGCGAGATCTCCCTTGGTATTAGCATTCGATTCTTCGGGTCGAAACCTTTGCCGCCTTTGATATCTACTGCGATGGCATCAACAGCTTCCTCAATCCGCAGAGGCCGTTCGGAGAAAGTTAGAAACTGCAAGATCCGTCGAGTATAATGCTCGTACTCGGAGGGGATGCTAGATAGAATTCGAGCATAGGTTTCGTCTAGTGTCTTCGGTAAAGATCCCAGTGCACTTTGTAGAGTACGATAATCGAGACATTTCTCAAGGCTCTCAAGTTGACATGTAACCCATCGAAACCTAGATCATCTTAGTAAGCTTAAGTCATGACCAAGGGGTTTAAGAACGCACATTCCGTTCGCTTTCTCTGTAAGCGCAGTTTCAATCTCATCCTGGACGTCAGGGGATGATTGCCACCTGCTTAGGCCCTTATACGTCCTGACC